ACCTCCGCGCGGCAGCGAAGGTATCTCGCGTACCTAATGATCAAGTAACTCGGTCAACGCTAATGACTAATGATTAGGCAGCGGAGGTATCTCGCGTACCGCTCCGCAGCGATGTCACACAGCCCTCCGCACAGCTCCGACGACGCCTGTGACGACTCATGAACTCGTGACTGACTTGTTCATGCAGTCCCTCCCGCACAGCTCGGACGACGCCTCCCGCAAGTCGGCGCGATACGCCTCGCCCCCCTCCTCCTCCCCGCCGCCGCCCGCCGCGGCCGGCGGCGCCGCCGAGAGCACCCGCTGCAGCGTGGCGTCGATCGCGGAGGCGCGGCGCAGCAGCACCAGCAGCGGGGCCGCGATCGATGCCATCACTCCCTCGTACGCGCGCGGCTCGAGCTCCTTCGCGCCAGGCGAGAGCGGGCGAGGGGGGGGGGGGGGCCGAAAGGGTGGAAGGGGGCAAAATCAGCCGAGAGCAGCCGAGAGCAGCCGAGAGCAGCCGAGATTGCATCTCACGCACCTTCAGCCTCGCCACAAGCGCCTTGATGCCGCGATCCTCCAGCGGAGCTGCACCTCCCCCTCCTCCTCCTCCTCCTCCCCCTTCTCCTCCTCCTCCGCCGCCGCCGCCGCCGCCCTCAGCGCCGCCGTCCTCGCCGCCCGCCGCGGCGGTGGCAGACGCGGCGCCGACTCCGCCCCCGTTCACCGCCGCTTCGCCCGTTGCGCCCGCCGAGGCTGCCGAATCGGCGGCAAGCGCCTGCTGCGACGCCGCGCCAGCTGCCGCCGCCCCCGGCACCGCTGCCGACAGCGGCGGGAGGGCCGCCTGCAGGGACCGCTTCGGCAGCGGCTTGAGCTCCTTGCGCAGCGCGTCGGAGAGTAGGCGGAGGGGGGTGTGCAGCGTGCGAAGGGCGAGCATGCCCTCAGCGAGAGGCACCTACTCATTAATCGCCGTGTCGGCCGACCATCCAAGGCGCATTCATGCTGATTGCCCCCCCCTCCGCCAAGGGGCACCAGCCGGACATCTCCCCACAATCTCCCCCGTATCTCGCACCAGCCAGACATCTCCCCGCAATCTCCCCGCAATCTCCCCCATATCTTGCACCAGCCAGACATCTCCCCGCAATCTCCCCACAATCTCCCCACAATCTCCCCCATATCTCGCACCAGCCGGACATCTCCCCATCATCTCCCCACAATCTCCCCGATATCTCGCACCAGCCAGACATCTCCCCACAATCTCCCCACAATCTCCCCCGTATCTCGCACCAGCCGGACGTCGAGCTCCGACGAGAGTGCCTCGACAGGCATGGCTGGCGGACCTTGCGACGGGTCGTACCCGAGCGCCACCTGTCCACACAGTCACGGGGTGTGAAGAGACGCCGTTCACACCCTCTGGCCTCGTGCCCGATCTCTCACCTCCATCAGCTCATGCGCCATAGTCCGCTCGATGACTGCCTTGGTCTCCTCCAAGCCCGTGGCGATCCCTGCGAGGCTACTCACTCCAGACAGCTCGGACGCCTGTCCACCACGCACGACTCGCTCACTCCACGCGGACAGGTGGGACTAGCTCCCTCCGCACGGCCCCGAGGCGCCAGCAGACTCTGCGACGACGCGATCAGCTCCAGAGCGCCGGGGAAGTCGCCCGCCGCCAGCAGCTGGTGGATGGTGGGCTGCGTCTGTACCACGGCGAGCAGCAGCCGCAGCTTCTCGTCGAGCGCAACTGTGTTGGAGCGGCGGCGCACGAGGCGAGGCAGGTGCAGCGGCTGGTGCACCTGCCGCGGTTCAACTCTCAGCCAGTGAGGAAGAAGACGTGCGACGGCAGACGCAGCGGCGGGGGCACCAAGTTGGTCTCGAGGTCTCGCAGCCGCTCACGCATCGCCGCCAGCTGCCGCACGCCCGCCTCGACCTCGGCGCCTGCTCACAGCGGCAGCTGTGAAGAGGCGCCGTTCACAGCTGCCGCACGCCCGCCTCGCCCCTGGCGCCGAGCCGGTCATACGAGACGAGCGCCTCGAAGAAGCCTTCCGCTCGCGAGGAGACCTAGTCATGAGTCATGGAGTAAGAAGCAGCGTTCACTCACTGTGAAGACGCATCCCGCCCGCGAGGATGCCTCGCCCAGCAGCGTGATCTCGACCTGGTCGAGGTAGTTGCTCACTCACTTGCTTACTTGCTAATGAAGTACTTACTAATTAATCAATGATCTCGACCTGGTCGAGGTAGTTGGTCATCCGCTCGATCGTCACTAGAGTGGCGTGCGGCGCTCCCTCCGGCGAGAAGACGGCGAAGGTGCTCGGGTCGGTGAGGTCGAACCGCTCCTCAAACACCACTTGCGGGACGGCGCCTGTTCACACCCTCTCAGCGTGTGAAGAGACGCCGCTCCACACCGCTCCGGCAAGACACACACGACTGAGGAGACGCGCCGAGCCGCTCGGTCACGTCGGCAGCGATCGCCCGCCCGCCGTTGCCCGCTGCGCCTCCGCCGTGCCCGTTGGAGAGCGCCTCGCCCTCTCCTCCTCCTCCTCCTCCCCCGCCGTTTGGGCGGTGAGTCGCGAGGAACCGGAACGGCTCTCCGACGGTCGCCAGATAGTGCTCAAAGTCCGCCACTGTGATGGTCTGGCGCAGCTCGGACGGCAGCAGCGGCGGCGCGTCACTGCCCTCGGCCGCGCCTCCGCCGCCGCCGCCCACGCCTCCGCCGCCGCCGAGCAGCGCAGACGTGCCGACCATCGTCGCAACCGTCGATCGGACGTCGTCGATCGTCCACTCGCCTGGTGTCGCGGCGGCGACAATTGGTGGGCGAGGGCGAGGCTTCCGGCAGGTGGCGGGGCTCACGGTTCCGACCGTTCGGGTGTGCGGCGAGGCGGGTGGCGGGCTGCTGCCGGGTGTGCTGGGCGGTGCTGCGGAGAGCGAGCGGCGCACCGAGGTCGTCTGGCAGGCCAAAGTAGTCGAGCCAAGAGGTGTTGGGATTGTTTGTGGCGCCGGAGAGGAGGAACCGCGCCGCCGACGCCTCGCCCGTAGAGGCGCCGCCAGCGGAGCTGCCATTCATCGGCGAGGGGCTAGCCAGCGGCGCCGGAGGCAAGTCTGGCGGATTTTTTCTTTTTGGCATGATTTCTTTTTCGCGTCGGCTTTTTCTTTTCGAAGTGTGTGTGTGTGTGTGTGTGTGTGTGTGTGTGTGTGTGTGTGTGTGTGTGTGTGTGTGTGTGTGTGTGTGTGTGTGTGTGTGTGTGTGTGTGTGTGTGTGTGTGTGTGTGTGTGTGTGTGTGTGTGTGTGTGTGTGTGTGTGTGTGTGTGTGTGTGTGTGTGTTGATTGATGGGAAGGCGAAACACAGTCCGACCAACGACTGGGACACCATCGCGGTATCGGTGGACGCTAGACGGGCGATGACGGTCACACAGGAGCGACACACAGAACCACAAGACAAGACACTCAGCCAACGGGGCGGCTGCCACACATCCTGAGCGAACTTCCCTAGTCACCCGCGGCCGGACTCCATCCGGCACGCGTCGCTGGGCGCTCAGAGCTGCGTCCCCTGCTCGCCACCCCGACGCCCAAGGCGCCCGAGTGAACGACAGGCGGCACGCGAAGACTGGTTGCAATCCCGCCGACCGCCAGGCCGCGGGATGATGTGTGCGTGGTCATGTAGTGGGTCTCGTGTGTGTTCTCGAGGAGTCGAGGTTTTGAGGGGGATATCCTTTGGCCGCGTTGGGTTAGCGAGGATTGGTGTGTGTGTGTGTGTGTGTGTGTGTGTGTGTGTGTGTGTGTGTGTGTGTGTGTGTGTGTGTGTGTGTGTGTGTGTGTGTGTGTGTGTGTGTGTGTGTGTGTGTGTGTGTGTGTGTGTGTGTGTGTGTGTGTGTGCGTGCGTGCGTGCGTGCGTGCGTGCGTGCGTGCGTGCGTGTCTCAACCTTCTGTACTCCTTTCTTAAGATTTTAGAATTCTTCTTTTCGTTTTTGAGAAGGTCTATGAGACGGGGCATGCAACGGTAAAATGCCGCCGGTCCCAACTCGTCCGTCCAGGTGCTTTGCGCCGCCTGTGCGGGCAATTGCGTCGCACACCCTGGAGCGCTGGCGGTAGTTTTGGCTACTCCTGCCGCTCCCACTGGCGGGGCTGCCCTCACTAGCTCTCCTTCACTGGCGCCTCATTAGCTCTCATCGATGCGATGCGGGCTGCCTTGCGCAAAACCTCATTTATGAGCGACCGTGAGCGGGCCGCGTTGAAGGCGGAGCTGCGGTCCGAACTGCACGACTCGCTCAAGCAGCAGATCGTGCAGGAGCTCAGCAGCCAGCCGAGCAGCAGCTCTTGTCAGCACGTGTGTGAGGAGACTCCTCCTGGCGATCCTCCTGCTGCAGAAGAGAAAGCTACTGCCGAGCTCGAGATCAACAGCCGGGAAATGCAAGGCAGCATGTGGGACGTCCTCCTTTTCGTCGGCGCTTCGTGCTTCTCTCGTGTGGATTCCGCCGTTCTGGCGCTGCTCTTCTTGATAAACGTGGCGGTACAGTCCCTGTTCATCTACGGCTTGCTCAATCCCGACCTAAAGCTCACCGAGCCCAAGATCAACCATCATACCATCGAGCTGCTGCGCACCTGGCGCGAGACGTCGGCACATGACTACAGATATTACAATGCAGCGACGAAGCAGACGCTTGTCTCTCGCGTGTGTGCAAAGGATGGCAGCCTGAACGAGGGTGCAAGCCAAGTGAGCGTCATCTCCGACCTCGACGGCTACCTCGGAGCGGATTTCGACGGCAGCGGCGTCTCAACGGGCTCGCTCATGTGCATGATCGCCGTCCTTATCTGGCTTCTCACCATTGCAAGGGAGATCAACACCACCCTTGCGCTCGTGCGCGGTGTATTCGGCATCCCACGCGGGAGCACAAAAATCACGACGCGGCCGCTTACGGTGCACACGCTGGGATTTGGCCGGCGTTGGGCGATGATTTTCGTCCAGAGCTGGCGCCTCGCAATTGCCGCCTTGATGCTCTACTATGGAAGCCTTTACATCATCTACACAAGCTCGGTGGAGAACTTGCTGCTGAATGCGGTCGCGCTCGAGATCGTCATCTCCGTAGACGAGATCGTGTTCGAGGCTCTCTCGCCGAGGCAAGTCAAGAAGATGGTGAGCAACGCGAATGGCCTCCCTTTGTCCTCGGTGAGGTTGCAGAGTTGCGATGTCGGAGCTGCCTGCACGCTCGCCGTGGCCGCCTCAATGCTGGCGTACTTTACCGCCAACTACATCATCCCGCAGCAAGACGAGTTTCTGGCCGCCAAGGATGCTATTTGTGCCGGCGACCGTGATTTCGTCACCCTTGTAGACGGTGCAGGCGTGATGGTGTGGAGCTACCCGGGCGGCGTCGACACAGCGAGCCTGAACATACGGAACTACCCCCACGGGGCGCACTACCGGCAGGCCGAAGCTGACATGGAGGCAGAGCACACGCCGACGAGACTAACCACGCCGCTTCTGACCAAGGAGAGCGTGTCCCTTGGCGTTCGCTGCACTAGTACTCACTCGGCGCTCACCTCCGTGCCATGCACCTGTAGGTGCTCCTGCGACAGCACGGCCGCGACTGCTTCCGCAAGGAACGGTGTGGAGTCGCACCTGTAGGTGCTCCTGCGACAGCACGGCCGCGACTACTTCCGCAAGGAACGGTGTGGAGTCGACGTCTGCTACCAGCCCGCCACCGGTGCACTCGAGGGGGCGCTAGTGGCGCGTGAGGAGCGCAACGATTGCTGCCTCACGGCGCAGCACTTCGTGCCAGACGTCGACTCAGGGCGACTTTAGATCCACCATCACCAGCCCTCCCCATCCCTCCCGCCATCACCATCTCCATCGCACCTTAGGAGCTTCTCCATACGAACAAAGACGCTTCAGTCCAGCGACGACGCGTTGATGCCCTACAACCCCTATTGCGCGGATTCAGTTGACATCCCGGCAGGGTATCAGCCGATCCTGACGTGAGGCCCAGCCCTCAGCATGCCCATGCGCCACGATTCCGTGGCCCTTCCACCATCGCGCTCACTCTGCCCGTCCCTCCGGCCCATAGATCTGCTCTCGGCGAAGCAATCAACACTGTGACTGACTACGAGCAGTGCCCAGAGGCGGAGGACGCTCACCACCACTCTCAGCAGCAAGGGCACGTCAGGGGGTGTCCGCTCAAAGCCTCGCTCTGCCACAACTTCACGTGCGTCCAGCCCAGCTGCAGATTGGCACAAAAGTACTGCCACAGCAGTTCGTCCGCTGGCGTGCGCGCCCGCCAGCTCTGCCCTATCACCTGCGAGTGCGACGATCCTTTGAGTCCCCTCGCGCTGTTTGCTTCGAACAACGGCTGTCCGTCGACATGCCTCCAGTCGGGTGCTTACCTCAAACGCATTGCCCGCATGCCATGTGAGGACGCCGCGCGCGATGACCCCCAGTTCAACGCCTTTCTCGACAGCTGGGACGAGGCGCGGCTGAGCTGGGCAAGCGACTGGAACTGGACGGCGAGCACTTATGTCGCCGGCTTCCGGTCGCTAGGGTGCGCATACCTTAGCGACGTGGTGGCGGTGCAAGCGAGGGTGGCCGCCGGCGAAGGCGCCTTTACGCCGTATCCCGTTTTCATGAATTTGTGCGTGGCTGGCGCGAGCATCTACCCCCTCAAACCCCTCTCCTACTTTTGCCCCGTCGCGTGCGGCTGTCACGCGGGGGACCCCCACTGCCCCCAGTCGTGCCCAGCTCGCACCGAGACGACGCCGCTTTGCCCAGCGTATCAGCGCGACCAGCTCATGAACTTTCTGAGCGACGGGGAGACGTGCCCAGTGCAGCCCGTCAACCGATTTTTGTCGTGAGCGCCGTCCGTGCCTGATTCTCAGGGCCTAGGGGTTAGAGTACGGCTTGCGGAAGTCAGTAGGGGTACCGTGGCGTCGCCGTGGTGGCCCACCGCCGCATGCACAGGCGCCGCGTTTTTTTTCTGTTTCGCGTTTTTCTTGGTTCACATGCACACACATGCACATGCACATGTGTGCAGTTGTGAGTTGAAGGGCTGGCGAGGGTACGGAGACCACGCACCTGCTCTTCACAGCTCAGAGCTTTGCCTGGCGGGCAGAGCAACCATGCCGTGCAGTGACCAGTCGTGGAGAGCGAAAAGCACACCATCATAATGTGCTGAAGCAAGGCAAAGCTTGCGTTGTGAATCGGCTTTAAAAAAAGCAAGGGAAAGCGACCGTGCGTCCCCTTTTTCCAGAGACGGATATCCGCCCCTGAAAAGCGAAGCGTGGACTCAGTCTCACCAGGTTGAAGGGTACCGCCTCTGTTCCGTTCACACCACAATGCGTAGCGTGCTCCCCGGCTCGGCCCCCGGCGGGCAGATCACCTGCACCGCACCTCCGCCCGGGAGGGTAGCCACGAACACCGTGCCGGGAGTAACTCCGTCGGGCACCACAACCTGCAGCGCCTATCCGCAGCAATGTGTGTGAACGGACGCGGACGGCACCACCCCATCCTGCCGCGGCGGGCGGCGCCGGCTCGGGGGACGGCGGCGGCGGCGGCGGCGGCGGCTGCTGCTGCTGCGGCTGCTGCGGCGGCGGCGGCGGCGGCGGCGGCGGAAACGGCGGAAACGGCTCGAGCTGCGGTGGGCTTGCCGACGGCGGACGGGGCGGCGCCAGCTCGGCCGTCAGCTCGCCCCTCTCGCGCCTCCGCTCCTCCTCGAGCGAGTCTCGTCCCGCCTATTCCCACACCGTGCGCTGTGAACTGACCCTGCTCACACGCCTGCGAGAGTGCTGTTCGTTGCTCTTCCCGATGCCCTTCTCTCGCGAGTGGCTATCTGTGTGCCTGTGTGTGCTCCTCTCACTGCAACCGTCTCCCCGCCCAGCTATGGATCGGTCCTCCTCAACGTCCGGTGTCCGGTCACTCTCGTCAGACGGTGTGTCTTCATCTCTCACTCTTCTCTGTCCCGCCTCCAGCGCCGCACGGATATTGCGCGTGTAGAGCGAGGACGACTTTCGCCGTCGCTCGGCCGCCTAGGACTAGTTGTCGATTCATTACGAATTCGCTGATTGAGACGGTGCTCGCGCGGTAGCTCGGCCGCCTCGAGCTGGCGCGCCCAGAGCACGTTGATCAGCGCGTGCGGGCTGCGGCGCTGGTAGGACCCCGCCCACCGCAAGTCGCTCTCTGAGCTGCTCGCCTGACGAGAGTAAATCACTCCGTGACTTGACCAGCGACCCCGCCCGCCGCGACTCGCTGCCCGCGCTGTGCTCGCCGCCAAAACGGCGTCGTGCTCGCGCAAGTACCGCCGCAGCTTGGAGGGAGAGTGCATGTGGCCGAACCGGTGGCGCGCCAGCCACGCGTCACTCGGCGTCTCGTACTGCGGGTGGAAGCAGACGATGCCTGCCTCGATCAACCTCGGGTGAGACCTCGGCGCTTGAGCGACCACTGCGGGCGGGGATCGCAGGACGGCGCCGAGTGTGCGTCCCAGCCCCGCCGCCAGCACCGACGCCTCGAGGAGCGGGAAGACGGTCCTGTGCCACTCGCCCCACCTGCGACCAAAGTAGCAGTGGCAAGCGAAGAGTAGCAGCGGATGGACTGTTACTGACACCACTCCGCCCCGCCTGTCGTCCCACGACGGCGCGGACAGCACGATCGACGAGACGCCCTCCTCCCCGCCCTCGGCCATGCCGCACGCGGCGGCCCAGAAGTCGACGAGCAGCGAAGCCACCTATCCGCGACCCACACCGCCGTGAACAGACGCTGCGCGCCGACGCCACAGGCTCGAACACCAGCCAAGGCGCCTGTTCACACCCTCGCATGAGTGGTCGCCGTTCAGCGGCTGAATTGTACGATAAACAGCGCGGGCAGCACCGAGCCGGCCTCGCTGTGCGCGTAGGCGATCGGCGCGGGACGGACGCCGAACGACTCGAGCCCGGAGCCGGAGACCTCTGCCGACGCCGTGTACGGGCAGAACCGCAGGCCGAGCGGGCTGAGCGTGCGACGCACCCACGCCGCGGTACGCGATCTAGCGAGCTCCTCCGGAGGCAAGGCAATCGCGGAGGCGGCGGCGGTGGCTGCCGCGGCGGTGGCGGCGGGCGGCGGCTCCTCGCTGGCGGCGGTCCTCCTCAGTCCTCGCACGGGAGCGTCGCCTGGAAGCGGCGCGAAGCCGCGCTCGGAGGGAGGAAGCAGCTCCTGCATCTCGAGCAGATCTGACAGCGCGCGCTGGTCCGCCGCCGGCAGCGCCAACGTGCCGCTGCCCTCCGACAGCCAGCGCCAAAACGCGTACTGCTGCCGGCCTCCACGCGGCTCGCCACACCAAGAGAGGCTGGCGTCGCTCTCGGCGGCGAGCCAGCGCTCTGTTGCAAGGCGGCCGATTGGAGAAACCCTGAGCGGCGCGGGCAGCAGGCCAGCCGTCGCGAGCGTCAGCTCCAGACGAGGCCGCCGGCTCTCGAGGTTGGACACAGACAAAATTCTTTTTTCGCGCGCATCATCCTGTCTTACCCATCACCTTTGCAGTCCCAGTCCCGTACCCGGTGTCGTGCTGGCCGGGTCTTGCAAGCAAACCGACGCGCGTCGAAACCGCACGCGCTCGAGCTGCGGAGTGGTTCGCTCGCGCTTGCTCGTAATCTGGCCTTCTGGCTCACCAGCGCTGTCTCCCACCAACCTCCAGCATGGCCATGCATGACGAGGACGACGGCTTGTGCGTGCTCTGCTACGCGCAGCCTCGCGTGCTCCGCTATCGCCCGTGCGGCCACTGCGTGGCGTGCGAGCGCTGCGCCATCCGGCACGTGCTCGCACAGCTTCAGGCGGGCGAACTGCGGCCGCGCTGCTCGCACGGCTGCGGCGCGGAGATTGTGGATGTCTTGCGGGTCGAGCGGGCCGACCCGCCGATCTTTGAGCGCGACGAGGGCAACGCAAGCTGTCAGCCGGGCGCGCACAGCCTCGAGGCCTTCCTCGAGCGCGCGGCGCAGAAGGTCCTCCGCTGCAGCGTGGCGCAGGACGCGAGCCAGGCGTGGCTGCGCCTGCGCGAGGCGGCCGGCGCGCGGCGGCAGCTCGCCTTCTTCGAGGCGGTCGAGGCGGGCGACCTCGACGGCTGCGTCGCGCTGCGTCGCGCGGGCGCGTCGGTGAGCGCCGCCGACCGCCAGCAGCTCCAGCCGCTGCACATCTGCGCGCAGCTCGGCCTGGTCGAGCTCGCCCGCTGGCTGGTGTCGGAGGGAGCGGCGGTCGGCGCGGTCGCGAACGGGCAGGTCGCGCTGCACTTTGCGTGCGTGCACGGCGAGCTTGTCTTTGCGCAGTGGCTGGCGGAGGAGGGCGCGGACGTGCACTGCCGCGCAGACAACGGCGCGGCGCCGCTGCACGGCGCGTGCCAGGAGGGGCACCTCGAGGTTGCGCGCTGGCTGCTCGACGCCGGCGCCGCGGTCGACCCGCCCGACGAGGACGGCTCTGTCCCGCTGCACGCCGCATGCCAGGAGGGGCACGCCGAGGCGGCTCTGCCCCCGCACCACGCCCCTCCCCCTGCCCCCGCTCTCTATCCCCGCCGCCCACCCGCACTCGCCTCTCGCCATCGCCCACCCCACCGCCGTTCGGATGGCTCCAGACGACGAGCGTGACACGATTGCGAGCGTGATGACACGATGCGAGCGTGACACGATTGCGAGCGTGACACGACTGCGGTAGGTGGCGCAGCTGCTCCGCGAGCGCGGCGCCGACCTGGCCGCCGCCGATCTGGACGGCCGCACTGCGCTGCACTTCGCAAGCGTCAACGGGCACCTCGAGGCGGGATGCCTTGCCCGCAATGCCTCAGACAGCCCCGAGAGCGCATGCCTTGCCAGGGCAGTGCGCCGGCTTCTGTCGCGCGCCTCTGTCGCGCGGGGCGGTGCGTGCCCTCCTGCTAGCCAGCGCACGCCCTTCCCTCCCTTGGCAGGTCGCTCGGTGGCTGGTTGGCGAGGGCGTCGCGGCGGACTCGCGCGATGCGATGGGCAGGCGAGCGCTCGATGACACCGTGCCTTGTCGATGACTGATGACTGCTTACTTGCTCGTGCTGGGGCAGGCGAGCGCTCGACTACGCCTGCTTCAGCGGGCACACGGCGGTGGCGCGGTACTTGTGCGGCTTGGCGAGCGGCGCGTGCCGGACGGAGACGGAGCTGCGGCTGGTGCTGCGACACCCGCGCCTCAAGCTCGAGCAGTACACCGAGAGGCGCACAGCGCCGAGACGCGCGGAGATGTGCCGAGATGCGCCGAGATGTGCTGAGATGCGCGGAGATGTGCCGATATGCGCCGAGATGCGCCCCAAGATGCGCCGAGATGTGCCGAGATGCGCCGAGATGTCGCACACCGAGAGGCGCAGGCACGTCTGCTCACTTGCGCGCACCGGGCCTTTCACATCCGCATGCCGTGGGGCTCCTGCCTGTGCCATGGCCGTGGAGAGAGGAGAGGGGTCGCCAAGCAGTCGCCCCACCCGCAGCGTGTGGAGGCGTTCGCCTTGCCTTAGGCTCGTGGAGGGAGGCTACTGCATCTCGGCCCTGCAGAGGCTCGCGGCCACCGAGCTGAGAGCGGTGGGGATCGAGGGCGGGGCGATGAAGCAGGGGCACGCTGCCAGGCTCGCGAAGCACTTTCACGAGGCGGTGGAAGAGGTGGCGGGCAGCGCCGTCGCTTCGCTCGGCGAGGGGATATTCACCGGGTTCTCCCTCGATAGGACTGAAGGGGGATGATGGAGTGCCCTTGTCATCCGCAAGGCTTTTTTGCGTTTCTGGAAAGAAAGAAAAGGACGCGGGGGCAACTCGAGGGCAGGAAACCGGCCTGCGTTTCAGCTTTCACAAAGCCCGCTACTTCTTTCGTGTACCTCTGTGTGTTTTTTTATTTTTAGTGCCAGTGCGCGCCAGTCCCGTGCCACGTGTCGTGCGAGGAAAACAAATAAAATTCTTCTTTCGGCCATTCTTCTTTCGCCACACGCGTGTGTGACTGTGAGTGAGTATTCTTGATACGAAACCACGACGACACACACAGACATATTGCATGTCATCATATCGATTATAGACCCCCAGAATTCAGCTTGAGCCCTTCCCGAAGGCGCTTTCCAATGCCTGCTGCAGGGCGGCGCGGTATTGCAGAGCGAGAGCGTGATCGGCAGGTAGACCCTTGGCCGGGTCGGGAGGGTGCACCTGAGAAAGTGTCCCTGAATGGCGGTGTTCGGACCTCGCTCCTCGGCTGTGAGGTCAGGACCTCTGTTCTCGTGAGGACCTCTGCTGTGAAGACCTCTCACAAGCAGGCCCAATCAATTGATTGGTGCTGGCTCTTACTAGGATCCCCTGTGCTCCGCGCTTGTCGCGTGTCGATCGTCTGCACAACGTGAACGTGAGCATGTGGACACGGCCAGTGTGAGACAGAGAGAGAGGGGCGGTGCGAGGCCCTCAGCTCTGCTATTGAGGACCTCTGCTGCACGAGGACCTCTTACTGTGAGGACCTCTCACGCTCTCGCTGGTAAGCCTCGGCGTGGCCACGCGCTCTGACCCCTGTGCCACGGCGCTCTCTCTGGCTTCGGCGGTCCACCATCTCGCTGCCTGCTTGCGTCTCGCGCTACCTCGCTCCATCCAGGACGACCGGGGAAGCGCGCGATCAGAGAAAGAACAAACACCGGTAGTTATAGAGATGAGGAATATGTTAACTACTGTCTGGCTATATGTGCGTGCTTTGCGGAAACTTTAGGTCATGCATGGCATCAGAAGTTTTATCTCTGGGCCACGACACACACACACACACACTGGCGCCCTTGGAAAATTCTTTTTGCGCACAAGTCCACAACAGACCGGCGCTACAGAAGCCGCAGCAAATCCGCCCGTGCCGCCGATGCGCCTGCGCGTCGCCGCCGCCGGCCTCGTGCCCTTCCTCCTCGTCGCGCTCTACTGGCAGCACGCCTCCTCCAGCGCCGCTGGAAGCGACCGCGCGCTCGTGCGGCAGCAGGTGCAACGCACGGCGGTCGTGGCGGCTGAGGCGGCGGCGGTGGCGGCGGCGGCAAAGAGCTCGGCCGCAGCCGCACATGCGACGGCGGCACCGCCGTCGGCGTCCACAGTCGCCGCCAAGGACACACCCGTGCCGAAGCCCGGTGCGGCTGCGGCGGCGGCGACACCGATGGCGGCGGCTCACATCGTCGCGCCCGCGGCGGAGGCGCGCGACGTGGCGCTCGACTGGGGTCCGCCGACGCTGAGCAGCAAGCGCATCATCGACGGCTCGCCAAACTATCTGCCGGTGCCCAATGCCGAGGGCCCGGCGCCCGATGACATGGCGTGGCGGAAGGAGGTGTCGAGCGACCCGTCGGTGCCATGCCCGGCGGGCCGGCGGCCGTACCACACTATCCTCACCGCGCAAGGGTCGCTCTACCAGCAGTGGCAGACAAAGATCTTCTACTACCACTTCCGCAAGCAGCAGGCGGCGGGAGGACGCTGCACGGAGATGACTGGCTTCACTCGGCTGCTGGCGGGCAAGCCGGACGAGCTCATGCCGACCATTCCGACAGTGGCGGTGCCCGAGCTAGAAGCCGAACACACATGCCTTCGTATTCCGACGAGCACTCAGAGGGCACCGCACTCAGCTGCATTCAACCGTACTCAGCGGTATACGCTGTGTCCGTACCCCCTGTGTCCACGCCGGTGCTCTTGAGTACGCTGCACGATACCGTATCCACACCCCGACCTTGCGTTTGTGGTGTAGGTGCCCGAGGCTGGGCACAACGTGACGCGCGGGTTCCCGGTCATCAACCGGCCGTGGAGCATGCTCCTCTTCATCGACATGAAGGAGTTTAGGGAGCGCATCGTCGAGCGGTACGTCTACATCGCCGAGACCGACCATTTGCTGCGGCACGACATACCGAACCGCGCGCCTGGAGCCGAGATGGAGCCGAGATGGAGCCGAGATGTAGCCGAGGTGGAGCCGAGGTGGAGCCGAGATGGAGGAGGTGTGCCGAGATGGAGCCCAGGTATAGACGGACCACTTGCTGCGGCACGACAACGCCCGACCGCACGCCACGTCCGGCCGTGAGCAGGCGCGACGCCGCAGCTGGCCGTCGGCTACTTCTTCCCGTACATGTCGCCAAAGGACCCAAAGTCGGGCGGGATCGCGCAAAAGTGGCTGCCGGACACGAAGGTTGCGGACATGCCGCCCGTCGGCCCGTCGCCGATTCTGATCCACGTCGCCGATTCAGAAGCTGAAAACGTATTCTTGTATCCAACCAGCACTCGAGAGGACACCGTACTCCACTGTCTTCAGCTGCTTTCAGCTGTATTCACTGTATTCCTATCCGTTGTATTCACGCGGTGCTCTGAAGGCACTGCGCAACACCGCCCTGATGTTGGTGTATTCAGCACGTAGGTCGACTTGCTCCGCGCCGTGACGCCGCTGTGGTACGAGCTCTCGTGGAAGCTGAAGCGCGACCCCGAGGCCAACGCCGCCTACGGGTGGATGCTCGAGATGTGGGGCTACTCGATTGCCGCGGCGCGCCTGGAGAGCCTTCCCTTCGTCCCCAGTAGTAGATAGGCGCAACACACAGACACACGAGCGAGACGCTGCCCGGTGCGTGTCGGCATGCGTGGCCTGGCCTGCTTCATGGCGTCGGGCTCGGCCGGTAGGCGCGCCTCAAGATCAAGCACTTTGTGTGGCAGCGGATCCAGATCGAGCCGTCCGCGGCTTGGCACCAGACGCTCTCGGAGCGGGACGGCGATTGGGCCCCCGCGGTCGATCCCTTCATCTACCACTACACCTTTGGCGTTGAGTATTTGTTGGATGGATCCCCAGTGGTGGGCGGCAAGGGCACGTGGTCGCTGGACAAGCGAAACTACTTCGGCGCCGCGCCGCCGCCCGACCTCAAGGCTCCGCCAGAGTGCGCGCAGGAGGCGGGGCGCGTGTGGTGGGGCATGTTCAACGAGGCGATCGGCAACCTCACCAAGGAGGGCCAGTGGTACGGCCGCACGGGGCAGAGCACGCGCTCACGCACCAGCGACGAGAGCACCGAGCTCGAGGCGGCGATGGGGGCGCTGGGAAAGGAGCTGGTGGACGGCGGTCAGTGGCTGATTGGCAACGAAAAGGCGCCGCTGCAATTCTTCCGGCGGGGCAAGCTGTGGACCAAGTGGGGAGGGGGCACGTGGAGGGTGACTGGCGGCACAAAGGTGGAGATGCAGCTCTGCGGCGCCGTCACGCTCACTTTCGACTCTGCCACGGCGCCGACACGCTTCGACTACACCGCGGGGGGGAGGGCCGGCAAGGGCGTCCGCGACCCCGCATTCGCCGCCGCCGCCGCCGCGCCGCCGGACGCGTCGCCGCCGTGTGGATCCGCGGCGTGCGGCTCGCAGGTCCGTCCGCACCGACCTCGGCTGGACCTGCGCTCGGCTCGTGCTCGGCAGACCTCGGCGGCTGGACTTGGGTTGCGCTGCGCGTCGGCTGCACCGCGGCTGCACCTCGGCTGCATCTCGGCCGCACCTTGACCTCGGCCGCACCTCGGCCGCACCTCGGTCGCACTTCGGTCGCACTTCGGCCGCACAGCCGCACTCCCTGCGTGCCTCCCCTATGCCAGGCTCGCACCCTCAGCCGGCTGCGCGGGCACGGCCCCTGGGCACTCGGTGACGCGCCCATTTCCGGCGGGCGAACCGGGTACGCCTTCTACCGCGGCGGCATGGCAGCGACGCCCGACGGAGCAGCAAAGTACCGGCCGCTTCCCGACAGCGCTGACGTGGAGCTGAGCATCGGCAGCGAGCGGGCTCTTGCTTCGTACTGGCGCGCCGCCCGTCTCGTCACGGCGGTTGGTGTTAGCAGGCGGCGACACTTTCCTCCTTCGCACCGAGGGTATCGTCGGCTGCTACCAGGTCCATGCCGTGTGGCTACGACTCGGCCACATCTCGGCCACTTCTTGGCCATCTCTCGGACACCTCTCGGCCACCTCTCGGCCACCTCTCGGCCACGTGCCGGCCGGCGAGTCGGCCAGTCGTGTCGCATCTTAGCTGTTCTCGGCCTCATCTCGTCCGGCCTTGTAACGTTCAGCCACGGTCCTGCCGCAGGTGCACGTCGCGAGGCAGCGGGACAAGCACGCCATGAAGCTGTGGGTGCCGATGCGGCACGTCTCGATGGAGTACACGGGCTGGCGCGACTCGGGGGGGTGCAAGCTGTAACGGGGGAGTTCGCGCGTTTCGGGCGGGTTGTTGGGAGTCCCAGATGGACCTTTGAAAGGCCTTTCGCGGGTGCGGAGGGGGCTTCCCCACCCCAAGCCACGTTGCGGTGTGCAGAAGGCGCCGCGAGAGGGGTAAGGCGAGTATAAATGAGCAGGGGGTATTCCCTGTTCGAGTCCGAATCTTGTGAAAAAAAGCTCCTGAGTCGCGCACGTGTTGTGGCTTGTCAGCCACACACACGTAGATTGCTTGTGGAGAAGTTTACCTTACCTTACCTTACCTACCTTGCGAGGTGCAGAGCAAAAGTGCCGAATGATATGTGCGCCGCCTCGGGCGGCGCGCCCCACATTAGAGACATAACCAGTGAGCGATTGGGCGCCTCAATCCTCGCACCCCGTGGTGCGCGGCGTCGCAGCGCCACTTATGTGGCGAACACTAGCGTTGGCCCACTCGACCACTGTGTCGCTATCGCCGTCCGTGCGTAGGAAGCAGTACTCGCGCCCGCCAAAGATCGGCTCCCCGTCGCGGACGTGGCCGTCCTCCGTGCCGCACTCGTCAGGGATGGCGCGAGTGGCCATCCAGCTGCCGCTCGTGTCAAGAAGCTCGTGCGCCAGCACCCAGTCACCGCCGCGCGCCCCCCGTGAAAAGTCGAGATAGAGCTTGAGCTGGACCGCTGGCGCCCCATCGTCCGGATCTGTCGCTGTGTACACAACAAACTTGAGCCCGATCCACTCGTCCAGCGGCAGGCCGCTCGAAAGGTCGACGCCGTACGGATTGGAGGGGCCGGGTAGGCGCCGACTGGCCGAGTAGACCACGCTCGTGCCGTGATAGTACTCCTTCTGGAACGCCACCTGATGCAAGGGGGGGGGGAGTGTCGGCGAGGAGTGCTAGTGTGTGCGCGGCGCGTGGGGCAGGAAGGGTGGGCGAGAGAGGCGGCGGGTGAGAGAGCGTTGGGAGAAGAGAGATAGAGACGTCGGGGCGTGGCGAGGCGGAGGCAATACCTCTCCGGTCGTCGTGTAGATGCGCGCATAGTATCCGGGCGCAGAACAGCCGTCTGTGTAGTCTCCGTGGTTGGTTCGCGCAACCAGCGTGAGACCGGAATACGACCGAACGTCGCCATACGCGCGGTATCGACCGTACGCCGTGAACTCGATATCCTCCCATCCGCTGCCGCCGCTTCGGATGTAGAGGCGCGGCGACCTGTGAAACGTGGCGGTCCCATCACCGCCAAAGGCGACCTGCCCACTGCCCTTGAAAAACAGATTCCGCGGAGGCAGAGCCAGACTCGGAGCCTCGGGTCTCAGCCTTGTCGTGCAGCTGGCGCAGAGCCTGCATGCAGCACTTGGTCAGCTTGACACTGCTTGACGACGACCCACGCGTCATCTGGACGGCGAGCGGGATGATCGTATCAATTGAAATCATATCAACCTCAGGCACCTTGCGTCGCCCCTCCGTCTTCAGGCGCGGATCGACACACTACGAGGCGCGACTGGTGGGTGCCGCCACTCAGCACTGGCACGGGCCACCGGGCAACATGTACATGTGTAGCGCGCAGGGGGGGGGGGGGGGGCGCTGGCTTCTTTGGCATTCCCTGCGGATTAGCATGTTAGCACTGCCGGCGCGCCACAGCGAGGCAGAGTGCTGCAAAGCGCGAGAGGCGTGGTGGGGGCATGGGTGGTGGGCTCCGGACTCGAGGCTGCGGAATGTGGGAAGGGGGCGGGGTGAGGAAGAGAGCGTGCATGTACTGAGAGGCTAGCATGCGCATGCTCATGCTGGGGGTGAGTACTGGTCAAAACAATTGAGTTTTGCACTATCGTTTGCAGCAAATTGCGCTGCATAAGCCGTATCGCGCGCGGACATAGCAGGAGAACCAGAGAGGCCCAATGACGCGGCAGTCCCTCACACGCTATGTGTTGCGGCCCTCCGCATCCGCGCGCTCCTCCTAGTCGCGGCTCGAGCCTCCGCCGCCGCTCGCGCCGCTCGCCGGGGCGCCCGTCGTGCAGTACTCCGGCACATCCATGCCCCACGAGAGCTTCGCCTTTGCGGTCGCCTGCAGGTGTGAAGGGGGGGGGGGGGGGGGGTGAGCAGCGCTGCTGCCGTGCATGGCGCTGACAAAAGGGCCTTGTCTTGTGGCAAACACCCCCAAGCCCCCGTGCGGAGTGAAGCCGCGTCTCCTGCCGCCAGTCGCTCGGGCAGGGAAAGGGGTCCGATCTATGGAATGGAGCTCTGCTTACTGCTTTGTGTGGATGGTGGCATCTGCGCGAGATGGAGAGGTTGCAACGCGTGTGGTGTGAACGGCGCCTCGTCGAAGCCGCGGTCGAGTCGCGACCCTGCGTCATATCGAGCACAAGCTCAGAGTTGTGATCTCCCCATATCTCTCCATATCTCCCCATATCTCCCCATATCTCCCCCCTGCGTCATATCGAGCACAAGCTCAGAGTCGTGATCTCCCCATATCTCCCCATATCTCCCCATATCTCCCCCCTGCGTCATATCGAGCACAAGCTCAGAGTCGTGATCTCCCCATATCTCTCCATATCTCCCCATATATCTCCCCCCTGCGTCATATCGAGCACAAGCTCAGAGTCGTGATCTCCCCATATCTCCCCATATCTCCCCATATCTCCCCATATCTCCCCCCCTGCGTCATATCGAGCACAAGCTCAGAGTCGTGATCTCCCCATTTCTCTCCATATCTCCCCATATCTCCCCCCTACGCCATATTGAGCACAAGCTCAGAGTGGTGAGATCGCAGTGTACCGAACGTGTGCGGTGATATTCGAGATATGGGGAGATATGGGGAGATATGGGGAGATGTGGGGAGATATGGGGAGATATGGGGAGACGCCTCCCGCATCTAGAGCTGCGCTCCGCGCTTGCGGCCGGCCTTGCACGCCGCGTCGGGGTCGTCCGCCAAGCAGCACCTGTTCAAACATGGGGCTGCGACTCACCGCCCTTTTGGAGTGCACCCGGGGCAGCGAGCGAGCGAGGTCAGCACCTGATGAAGGGACCATTCACTGCTTCACCACCGCTATTACGGGGTGCTTCCCGCTCCTCCGGGCAGGCAGCGCCTATCGTACGACCACATCAAGTATCAGCCACCAGTTCATCGAGTGCACCCGCGTCCTCGGGGCGCGCACCCCTTCTTGCACGTCTCCGGGGGGACGTACGCCGCGAGCCGCTCCACGTACTCGAGACGGACCTGATAGTGAACAACTGGGGTAAGGTTGAAGTATGGACCACTAGCCGCTCCAGGTAAGCCGGACCTAATCGTCAAAGTTAATGAGTTAAGTGTTGAATCACTGGCCGCTCCACGCACTCGAGACGGACCGCGCTGGACGCCGCACAGAGCGGGCAGCAGAGGGTCGAGCCGGCCATCGCCTGTTCACACGAGCTGGCCGTGAACAGACGCTGTTCACAGCGGGCGGCCGACCCGCCGAGCCATCGCCTTGGCGGCCATGTCGAGCTGAAGGCGGTCGTTCGAGAGGCTGTCCCACTCGATCAGCACCGAGTCCCCCTCGAGGCGGTACGAGAAGGTGCCCGGCCGAGACGGGCAGACGAACCGGCCGTCCGCGCGGAACTGAACCAGCAGCGGCTCCTCGTCGCCCGAGCGCAGCCGCCACACCGAAGCAGACACGAGCGCCTCCTGCGGCGTGAAAGCGCGCAGAAACCGCATCTTTCGCCAGTCCGACTCATTGCCGCGCGCCCCGCCCGCCAGCGCGTCGCCCGAGAGGCGGAGGACGTACTCGCCATACTTGCCCCAGTCGATGGCGAGAGTGCCGCCGGAAAACTGCCATGTCGCCGGCGCAGCGAAGCGTGGGCACCAAAACTCGCCGCCCGGGCGCAGCTGCACCTGCGAGGAATATTGCGTCGTGGACGCTGCGGCGCCAGTCGCACCGGGCACAGAGGGAAGCGGCTGAAGGGACTGCGCTGAGGCGCGAAGTGGCGGCGCCGCCACTTGCGGTGGGGCGCGAAGTGCATGAGGAGAGAGGAGGGAATTTGGCACCTCGAAGGTTCCACCGCTCCACTCGAACGCGTAGTACCCGGTGGGCAAGGACATGGTGCGAGCACGCTCTGCACTGAGAGAGGACTGTCACAGGGAGCTGTTCGCCGGCTGCAATCCATGCAAAATGGCTGCAGGGTTCGAGGCGTTTGGGCGTTTGGGGGGGTAGCGTAGGGGCGCGGGGGGCTACCCCTACTCCCCTACCCCCTGATTTGGGCGTGTAACGGACGTCCCCAGTGGTGGCCGACGCCCTTACCCCCTACCCGCTACCCCAAACCCGGAACTACCCTCCCCCCAAAAAAGTCTCGAGGAGTGGTCCAAGCCGCACGTGCGCCCGCGCCTGACTTTGGCGACGAGGAGGAGCTCGATGCAATGCGCTCATGAGTTCCTTGACAGAAGTAAAAATTACATATGGTGGCGTGCAAATTCCCCGCTCCTCGTATGTGAGGACCTCATAGCGGGTCAGCAAGCCCTAAAACGGCGTCTCTAGCCCACTGGACCCCTCCTACGCCTCGCTTTTGGCCAGCCCTCCAACCACCCACCCCTCCGAGTGCCCTCCTGGGCCCTGCCGCCTGACACCTCTATCGGTGGAGGGCTTTAGGTCACGGTCCACACTCCCGCCCTCCCGACCCCTCCACACCCCTACAGCGGCACCCCTACCCCTCCCGCCGTTTTAGGGCCTCCTGACCCGCACTCGAGGACCTCTTGAGGACCTCTCCGATGTGAGGACCTCCGATGTGAGGACCTTTGCTCTGAGCGCTCTGCCACTCTCAGCGCGCCTCCTGGACGAGATCTGGCTGGGGATTTAAGTCACGTGGGGCGAGCCCCCTCCAACCCACCCGCGCTAGGTCTCGGGGGACGCAGGGGTCACACCCGACGACCTCGGGAACTAGCCGGGGCAGTCGGTGTCGGAGAAGGGGCAACTCCGTGCACTGACGGTCGGCCGTCAGAAAACACGCCTCCGTGGCTCGGGTTACACCAATCCTCGCTACCCAACGCGGCCAAAGGATATCCACCTCGAGAACCTCGAGAGAAGTCACGTGCAGTCTTGTGCAGCCCAGACAACAATTCGCCGCCGCCCTCGAGCCGCGCGCCCCCGGGGGTCTTCCCTTTCTCTCAGACTCAAGATTGATGAAGGCCGAAGCGATCATGCGATAAGCGAATACATTTCCTTGAGTGAGATATGTGCTTCGTCTCGCACCTGAGTGAGAGTGAGATATGTGCTTCGTCTCACTCACGACATCCGCATCGCGCATGTACGCCAGCCACGAGTTTGACCCGTGGTTCAACTATCGCGCGACCGAGTACCTCGCCGCCAACGGGTGGCACGCCCTCTTCCACTGGTTGGACTACATGTCGTGGTACCCCGCCCTCGGACGCCCCATCGGCACAACGATCTACCCCGGCATGCAGATCACCGCCGCGCGGCCCCGCCCCCCGCCCCCCGCGGCGGTGTCTGCAGCGGCGCTCGAACCGCTGCCCGTGAGCGAGAGCCGTCAGCTGAGGAACAGTCTGGTACAGGGATCCCCTACCCCGAGGGACCCTGAACCCCGAAGCGAAAATGCTCGCGGTCGTGTGTGTCTCGCGCTTTGGCGTCGCCGCGCTTCCGCTCTCGCTATCCCGCGCTCCGGTGCGCCTGTCTCTGCGAGCCCTCCGCTCCAGCGCCGCGGCGATGGCCGGCACGGCCTCCGGCACCGTCGAGACGGCCGAGTTTGAGGTCGACGGCGAGATTGTGCAGGCGGAGCGGTTTGTCGAGGCTGACGTCGGCATGACGTTCAGCAAGGCGTCGCTTGACGAGAAGCTATTCTCGCGCCCCTGGCCGGACGAGTGGCCTTTCCCGCCGCAAGCCTTCCGGCGGCAGGACGAGTCGGACGACGCCGACTTCTACGCCGTGCCTCGCTTCTGCTACCACATCGACGAGGGCGCGGTGCGCGCGCTCACAAACTACTACGCGGAGAACATCGCGCCCGGCGCCGCGATCCTCGACATATGCAGCTCGTGGGTCTCCCACTACCCGGCCGACTTCCCAGACACGATGGGCCGCATCGCCGGCACCGGCATGAACGTGCACGAGCTGCGGTGCAACGCGCAGCTGTCGGAGCACTCGCCACGAGACCTGAACGTCGACCCGACGCTGCCGTACGAGGACGCCTCGTTCGACGTCGCCACGTGCGTGGTCAGCGTCGACTACCTGAGCAGGCCGAGATAATGGGGAGATATGGGGAGAGATCGGGAGACAGATGGTGAGGCGACGCACTGGAGTGACACACGCACACACCGACAAGAGCACTCCGCCAGCTGGGTAGCCACCCACACCTCGAGCGATTGATCGTACAGCACGGCAGTCACGTCTCTCTATTACGGCATGACTATGCGTATTCAGCGTGTGATTGTATTATGATTATCAGTGTTTCTTCAGGCCGCTCGAGGTGTTTCGCGAGGTGCGGCGCGCGCTCAAGAAGCCCGGAGGCTAAGTTCATTATCAGTAATTAAGTGTCACTACTCCTCCTAGGTGCGGCGCGTGCTCAAGCCCGGAGGCAAGTTCATCCTCTCGCAGTCGAACCGCTGCTTCCCCACCAAGGCGCGCCTTGACATGGGCAGCCGAGATGAAGATGAGGCCGAGATGTGGCCGAGATGTGGCCGAGATGCAGCTGAGATGCGGCGGAGATGCGGCGGAGATGCAGCTCAGCGATGGCCGAGGTATGGCCGAGAGGTGTAGCCGACGTCGGTACTAGAGCCCGCCGAGATTGGGCGAGATCAAGGCCACTTCCTGTGGCATGCGGCCGCTGGCTCTTCACACCCGCCCCGGCCGCGAACAGGCGATCGGCATGTGGCTGGGGATGGACGACCTGCAGCACTGCCTCGTCATCGGCTCCTACTTCCACTACGCGGGCGGCTTCTCGCCCGCGCGCGCCTTCGACTGCAGCCCGACCGGCCCAGGCACCAACGATCCGCTTTTCGTGGTGGAGGCGACCAAGCTGTGACCCGTGCGATTTGTCTTTTAACACAATTCATGTAGTCTATCCTCGGTCGCGCAAAAAAAGGAAAAACCCTGCGTGCCGCAGCGCGCAGGGAGGGCGCAGAGAGGAAGGAGAGAGAGAGCGCGCGAGCCGAGGGGCGAGGGCCGCGCGACGGCGCGAGGGCCTGAGGCCCGGGAGCTCCTTTGGGTTCAACCGACTTGGACTTCAAAAAAAGAACTCATCGAGAACGTGTACTCGCCAGCCAGCCGTGAGAGAACGCGGCGCGAGACGCGTGTGTATTGTCTCACCAGGGTCAAGCGATGTGCACTCTAGAGGAGACTCACGCGCCGCCACCGGCTGCCTCGGCGTGTGCGGAGCGCCTCAGAGCGGAGCACTCAGTGCACCACTGACAGCCGCCTGCTGCCTTACCGCGCTCAATAAAGGCGTCGAAATCGACATCAGACAGCGCGCTTAGGTGTGTGTCGCAGTGCGCGCTGCACTGTGTGGCCGCCATCCGCTTGCAGTGCTCGGCCGCGTGGCGCAGCTGGAGGCGCGCCTGTTTGGTACTCTTGCGCAGGTCCAAGCACACGTACACCAGCGGGCGGCGGCTCCCGGAGAGGACGACTCGGCGCAGAAAGGGCTGCGCGGGGTAACGCCGTCCGCTCACCTCGACCGTTGCGTCGGCCGGCAAACCAGCTGAGGTCTCAGGCAGCGGCTCAGCGTACTCCGGCGGGTCGCAGGCGGCATACACGAAAACACCGCACGCCGCATCGAAGAGCGACATGTACGATAGCATCTGGTAGACGTCGTCGCGCTTTGTGACGAGTTTGCCCTGCTCACTCACGTGCAGGCGCTTGTGCTTGGCGTCGCCGACGATCGCGCGCGAGGCCGTATCGCAGCTCACCATATCCGGCCTGACCTTCCGCGCGTCCACGCCGCAGTCCGCCCCCTCGCTTGAGAGCGGACACACGGCATTGCGCTCGCCGCCCACCGCGTCTCCGCCCTTCTTAACGGGCATCACCTCGCTGAAGACTGACCGCACAAAGTTCTCAAAGACCGTATCCATGTTGACGAGGAGAGAGACGCCCACCTGGCCGCCGCACGCCTCGGTCGACGAAGCGGCGAGGATGTGCTTGGATAGCTGCAGCGGCTGCTGGTAGTGCCGGTACCGCGGATTGTGCGCCTGCAGCTCGACCGCCGCCAGCTCACGCTCCGTCGTGAAGGCGCGCAACGCGACGCCGCCGAGCATGCGCTCCGCCTTGCGAAGTCGATGTTCGATGGGCGCGAGGACGCCTGCGCTCTCCGGGCGGTCCGCAGCATGAACAGTGATCAGCTCGAGCACGCGGTGGGCGGCGGCCTTGAGCAGTTGGTTCTGTGGCGTGTCTATGGTCAGCTCGTCGTACGAGCAGACAAGCGGCGGGTAGTCGAGGCCTTGCGGTTGTTTGAGCGACGCACGCACATCGATACGCCCGCGGATAAAGGAGCAGAGCTCGCGCACGCTGAGGTAGTCGCAGATTGCACCGCGCGTGCGCCGCAGCGCTGTCTCTAGCGCGAGAGAGTACGCGCACGCGAGCAGCAGCACAGGGTCGTCGCGTGGCAGGCCGGAGATGGCGTTGGCATCCACAGGGAGGTCAGCGCCGCCAAGCGTGATGAGCAGCAGCTCGAGCAAAGCGAGCGAACTGAGTGGCACGTGTGGCTTTGGCGCGATGTCGACGACCGCACCTGCTACTGCAATGCGACCGACCCATCGACTCGTCTTGAAAGTAAAGCCAACTTTGTGCGCATCGGTCGAAGCTAAAGCAAGCTGTTCATCGCTGGGATTAGCGACTGCCAACTCCGTCTTCAATGCCGCCTTCCTCGCGTCGTACCGGGAATGGTCGTATGGCTCGATGATTAGGGCAGTGCCTGTATCCCAGTTTGCGCGCCTGTCGTCTTTGTGTTGACTCAGCCTCTTCAGTTGCTCCAAGAGGTTCTTCTGCTGCCTCTCGAGCAGCACTTTCTGCTTGAAGGTCAGCTCAATCGGCGCGACATCAACGCCTCGCACGTCGGTGCTGTGCAGCCGAGACCGCGCGCTCGCAGGTCGAACCCGCGTGCTTGATACCCACACAAAACCGTCTGCATTGCGAAAGCATACCTCCAGCTTTTCAGGCGTCACATCCTTGACAGCGGCTTCTGCACAGTGGCCCCGGCATCCGGGTTGGTCGCAAGGCGGCACGTGCACACAGCAGCGAGGGCCAAGATGAGCCGTTCTGGCGGGGCCGCCACTCGCTCGAAGCGGGATGTGCACGGAGCTCGCAGCTGCCATATAAGATAGAGGGGATAGCGCGGCGCTCTTACCCCATCGTGCGTCCCGTCCATACAGCAGCTCCGCGGCAACCACTCTCCCTCTCCGCTCCAACGCCGCTCCAGGACGATGTCGGAGCAGGCTGAGCGGTACAAGTCGCAGGGCAATGCGGCGCTCCAGGCCAAGATGTTTTCCGATGCCGTCGATCTTTACACCAAGGCGTACCTCGCTTCCGCCCCCGGGCGCTCTCTTGCATGTGTCTATCATCAGATTAGCGGCCGATAGGCCATCGCGCTGGACCCAAACAGCGCCGTCTACTTCTCCAACCGATCCGCCGCCTACGCGGCCCTCGAGCGCTGGCGCGAGGCGCTCGACGACGCCGTGGAGGCGTGCAGCCTCAAGCCAGACTGGGGCAAGGGCCATCTACGGTCGCGCGGCGGCGGCCAGCCACCGCCCTGCCGCCCGCCGACTGAGAGGCACCCACTCCTGGCCTCAGGCGCGGCGCCGCGCTGGGCGCGATGCGCAAGCACGAGGAGGCGCGCAAGGCGTACCTGAGAGCGAGCCAGCTCGAGCCGCACAACGCGCAGGTGCAAAAGATGTTGAGCGACGCGGCCGAGGCGGCGCGGAAGGCGGCCGAGATGCAAGAACGGACCGAAGCTTCGTGCTGGAGCTTGTGAAGCAGAAGAGGCACGTGCTGCAATACGCTGTCGCCCGTGCCGTCGAGTCTTGGTTGGGCCTGCAGCCCGTGGAGAAAGGGCGGAGGAGGCTGGGAGCTCTTAACTTGGGGGAGGTTCGAGATCTTTGCCGAAGGGCTCGCATCCCTTACGACGACCGACCCCACCACCAAGAGGGCGACACAAGGGAAGCTCTCCGCGATAAAATATGCGCGGCGCTGGTGGGGGAAATGCCTTGGGAAATGCAGGATACCGGGCTGAAGCGCGATCGCAGTTCTGGCGCGTCGTCCAACTCCGAGGTTCCCAAGCGGCAGCACGGGGAGATAGGGGAGGACTAGAACGACTTCCTTGCCATGCAGGACCAGGACCAGCAACCCAAGGAGGCCCTGAAGCGGCCGCTCAAGGGGACGAGGCCGAGCGGCGCCTCAAAAGATACATACTTTTTTGCTGATTTTCAAGGCCGCCATTTACACGTTTTCACAGCCCTTTTCACCGAGCAAATAAAAAGAAAGCGAGGGGTGACGGTCATGCTCGCGACGGGGTAAATCTGGTGCCTCTCGTATCACTGGTGGGCTGGGTCTGCAGCAGCCGCGCTCAAAAAGAGGGAAAAAACTCGGCTGCTACTTTGACTGTCGACTCTTTCGGCGCACCGTCCTCGACCGCGCTGAAAAGCTGGCTGGTGGTCGCCGCAGCGCGTCGGCGCGACTCCAACTGGTTCGGCACCTCGGCTGGGTCCATCGGCAAGAGGCCCGCGCCGTCGGGCGGCCCCGGGAGCGCATGGGCGGCCGGCGCGAGAGCGGAGATCGGCGGGCCTCGATCCGCAGCTTTGCCACGAAAAACGAGAGGGGAGCGGGGGGGGTGGCAAGTATCGTACCCTAGACGCATACGTGCCCGACGGAGACTCCTCAGGTGCCTGCGCACCAACCACCCCCGGTGTTTTGACACCATTATTCGGTATATTAACCTCGCGGCCGCCTAGATAGACTGAAAGAGCTAGACACTGCAGGAGGCGAGGCGGCGGCGGCGGCGGCGGCGGCGGCGGCTGCTGCTGCTGCTGCTGCTGTGCTGCTGCTGCTGCTGCTGCTGCTGCTGCTGCTGCTAGATACGATCCCCCCACCCAGCCCGCCCGCCCGCCCTGCCCGCCCGCCGCCCGCCCGTCCGCCCTCGTACCCACTACCGCCCACTCCCATAGCCATACGGGTAGGCGCTCGAGTGCTCCTCTCGCTGCCTACTCGCTGCCTCTGGGGAGAGGGGAAGAGAGGGGAAGACGTAGGGCAGCATTAAATTGCGCCGTAACCGAGGCCCCTCCCCGAAAGGCAAGTATTAGACCCACGAAACCGAGACCCCTCCCCACCGTCCCGATCCCACCACCCCCCTGACGGGCTGAGAGGTCTTGCGGCGCAGCCGCACCTGCCTCCACATTATACGGATGCGTCGGCCTTACTGGCACACGTATACGCACAGGTGTAGTGTCTAGTGACACACACTGGGTCAAACCACACACACCTCAAAGGAAGCGGCACAGACCACATCGACCACGCACGCACGCGACGCGCAAACACTCTGAGGACTGAGCTGAGATGAACAAACAAATTCAGAGGCAGTGGAGAGGTGCGTGCGAGGCTAGTGCGCTGCCCGCGCGGCGCTCCACCGGTCGCAGAGCGCCAGCCTCACTCGCCTCGCCATGCCAGCAGCCGGGCGCGCGCGGGAGAGGAGCAGAGCTGGTGCGTGGCGGGAGTCGGTAGCCGAGATCTGGACGCGCAGGACCGCCGGCGCGGCGAGGCTCGAGCAAGCGCCTGTGTGGAGGTCGAACGGCGTGTGGGAGGGCGGTGGGCCGCGAGAGAGTCGCGCAGCCCCGCGTGTGTGGACCGGTGGCGCTTCGGGTGGCGTATCGGGCCGTCAGAGGCAGATACGTGGCGCAGCGAGTGCGAATACATGCGATAATTCGCACGCACCGTGCCGAGCCGACCCGCGTGCACGATTGGAGCACCTCGAGGCGGCGCGATAGGCGGTATGTCGAGGTGCCGCGGCCCGCCGCTGCAGCGTGTCGAAAAGGCGCTCTCGGAGGCGCCGCGGTGGCGGCCGAGCGCGCGGAATCGGCGAGCAAATTTGATGGCGTGCCGGCCGTGGGCCCGGACGAAGGCGCTACCGGCTCGGTTCGAGACCAGTGCCTGCAGGGACGCCTCCAGCACTCAACACAGAGCTGGTTGAGGACGCGGAGACTTGGAACGTCGACGCCTACTTTGGGCGCTGCATGTGCCGGTGGGGCGGGGGTGGGGCCAAATAGCCGAGCGGGAAGAGGTGCCTGCAAGGATCCCCAAAGGCCTGGGGTCGAATCTGGCCCGAAGGAATCCTAAAAAGGGGCCCTAATGGGGGCCTATGCGGCCCAAAAAGGCACCTGTGAAGAGAAGCCCCCCTAAGGATGAATGAAGTCTCCTAGGCTGTGATGTCTCCTAGGCTGTGATGCCCCCCCCTAAGGATGAATGAAGTCTCCTAGGCTGCTTGTCTCCTAGGCTGCTTGTCTCCTAGGCTGCTTGTCTCCTAGGCTGCTTGTCTCCTAGGCTGCTTGTCTCTTGCTCCCCTCCCCCCCTCGGGAAGGCCGAACTGAGGCGCATAGACCCATACAATAGATTTAGCCCTCCGGCCACGTCATGAGGCCATTCGAGGTGCCGCGGCCGGCTAGCTCGTGACGGCCCGAGTCCGAGGGTTGCAGCCGTGAGGCTCGGGCCCTGGGTGCAGTCTGAGGCCCCACGCCTGTCGCTTGGGCGCGGAGGCGAGCCACGAGCGCATTCGGTACCCAGGTCACGCATCTTTCCACGCCCTCATTCGAGCGACATCGCGGACACAACACTGCCTCACGCCCTTACTCTATTGCTGCTAGGCTACTCAAGCGAGACCTGGTGGCAATCCCGTCTGGCCAGCTCAACACGCCGCTTCGCGCAGGTATCGTGCCAGGCCCTGCCACCGCTCGCCGCCTCGCCGGCACGCTCGCGCTCTCCACAGATCTCACAGATCCAATGCGCGCGAATACTTCGACCGGCGCGCACACCCACTCCGCCGCCGCCGCTCATGCGACCGCAACGCCGCGCCGCGACGTGCGCACCGCACGCAACCGCACGCAGCGACGCTTACCCGTCGGCCGTGGCACGCCGGCTCATGCATATCACATTGGTCATATTGTGCCGCAGGCGTTTGGGCTTTGGCTCTCCCATGCGCCATGGCGCTCGGCGACGGGCGCATGCTCGGCGGCGAGCAGGCGGCGAGCTGCATGGAGTACGGCGTGGTGTCGGCGTCGACCATGGCGTGCCACGCCGCAAGACACACGCTGTGCGTCGCCTCAAAACCTCGCAGGTTGTCTGACAGCCAGTGTTCAAACTTTACCGGTATGGGAGTTTTTGGCTAATCAAACCCAAGGCCTGCACTAATCAAAAAGTGGTACGGGATACCAGTTGCCTCACGGAAATCAAAGCGAGTCGAAGAGAGCTGGCCCCACTTCCCGGCGATGCGACAGGAATCATAGTAATCAAGAGCCAGAGAGGCAGAGGAGAGGCAGCCGAGACGATAGGGCACGAGCACGACGGCAGCAACGACACGAGCGACGAGGCGCGGCGAAAGAGCCGGGACAAGGCAGGGCGGGGCGATCAACAAGAGCCTAGCATTAGGTGCGGCCTGCAGAGGCACGGGCTGCGACACGGCCATGGACGAGCAGCACGCGAACGAAAAGAAGGCCCAGGCGGACATGGGCAGAGCGGGAGGGCGATACGCGAGGAGGAGACGGGAGGGGACAAGGCGCGACTCGGCCGTGGACAGGCAGGAGGGAGTGGGTGCGCAGGCGTGCGCGGCGAGAAGAGAGGCAGAGAGAAGAGAGCGCAGACAGGAGGAGAGAGATGGACCCGCATTTCTCACGACATCAGAGAGGATGAACGAGCACGTGCCACGCCGATTCATCCAGCCCAACATGCGCAGGATGCACAGATAGACGGGTGCGAGACTCCCTCCGCGAGATCGAGTGTCTTTTTTCGCAGTACAGAGAGAGCGGGAGGGCGATCAGACCACACAAGACTGCACGAGATTGCGCGAGGTTATGCGAGACCACACGAGATTGCGCGAGATTGCACGGGAGGGTGTGAGGTGGCTCGAGATTGCACGAGACCGTACGAGACAGCGCGAGATTGTGTGAGATTGTGCGAGATTGTACGAGATCTGAGATTGCACAAGATTGCACGAGATTGCACGATACTGCACGAGATCGCACGGGATTGCGCGAGAATGCACGAGAGTGCACGAGAGTGCACGACGTTGCGCGAGACTGCACGAGATCGCATACGATTGCACGTGATAGAGCGAGGTTGCGCAAGAGAGTGTGTCTCTGGACGAGATTACGTGAGATTGCGCGAGATTGTGCGAGAATGTGCGAGAATGTGCTTCATCGCGCGAGTTTGCGAGAGATCAATTGAGATCCCCACCGCGAGGTTGACGCACGCTAAACGCGCCTTGAGAGACAGACACGCACAGATGGGAGCCAAACCCAGGACCCAGGTTACAGAGGCATGCAGACGCCATTCCTTTATCACCACGTGCCACAATATCCCACCCCGACCAACGCGCGCGAAGCACAAGGCCGAACGAGACTGGATGCCCCCCTTTAGTTTCGTTGATGATTCACACAGGCGTTTCTTTTTTCCACGAATTTCTTTTTACGGGCTTACAGGACCTGGGCATCGACATCAGCCGCGCGCGCATGTTCTACCTGCTCATACGCCAGGATGTGTACAGCAAGCGACACGCCAAAGAGGCGGCCAAGTACAGAGGGGGGGCAAAGGTCTCGCCGAGGAAGGGGATCGCGAAACGAAAATAGGAACAGTCAGCAAGGGGATAGGGGGTAGGGCACAAGGCATCTGCAGACGAAAAATATGTATTACTACATGCCATGTTGCACTTCGACCAACGCGCGCGAGACACAAGTAATGTCGGACAGCGAGACGGCGCTCAAGGAGATCGAACGGGCGTATCGGGGGCGGACACGCGGCGAGACAAATAGGAGCGCACTCAATGCGGCGGTGCAAGCACAAATCGACATTATACAGCGCCACGGAGGGTACGTGATTTTCATCTTCACGGAGGGGCATGCGGGCAACGCGCCCAATTCCATGGCGGACGCGGCGGCAAAGGCACACCTGCGGAGCAGGGTAACGAGCGCGTACGAGATGGACCTAGCACGACACGTGACGAACAGGGCATGCATCTACATGCATGAGGAGGAGGGGCAGGCGCCGGAGATCCGAGACAGGAGGCTGTATCAAGAAGCGAAGGAGAAAATTGGGCGGTGGGTACGAAAGCGGCTGGACGGCGGGCACGCAGCGCGAAAGGGAGGAGACGACAACGTGTGGAAGACGGTAATCAAGGCGACGGGGACGATATCAGGCGACACGAGATACGAGGGAGACAGAGAACGGGGTCCAAAATCGACCCAGCGCCAGCCCGAGGCCTGCGGGGAGAAGGCGAGGCTAAGGCTGGTACACGGCATGCGGACGGGACAGACCCGAGGTATAGAGCACGGGAGGCGATGGAGGGCCAGCCTAGAGGCAGAGGCGTGGCAGGACGGGTGGGACGAGGAGGGAGGAGGAGCATGTGCCGATGGGGCTGAAGGTTGCTGGCATCCTGGATGTTGCAGGACAATAGCTAATTCTATAGTTTACGTCAACAGAACGCTTTTTTTCCGCCGTTGGAGCTCTTAGCGTCCGGCCAGACAGACGCTGCTGGGAGCTCGGCTCAGAGCCGCTCGGATCTCTGAAGTGGGGCGGCGTTCACGGACATTTTGCGCTGGTTTTGACGACCTCTAAGAGCAGCTTAATCAGAATCTTCCTGCAGCTCCTCAGCGCACTGCTTACACAAGCACACATCATCGTCGAGATCTGCTACACGGAGGTACCGTTCCATGCACAAGGGGTGCAGCAGACCGTCGCAGCGGTGGGAGTTGTTGCAGCGGTGCAAGCGCATCTGTGCGCTCCCACTCTTGCTGCAGTACGAGCACACTGGCGCCTCGCGCCGCCGCGAAGCTCGAGATCTCGCCGCGGACGAAGAGGGCCCACCATGGTCTCCCTCCTCCTCCTCCGCCTCCGCCTTCTCCGCCTTCTCCGCCGCTTCCGCCGCGAATGACCGCGCAACAGCCACAGCCGCGTCCACCGCCGTGTCGAAGTAGCCAAGCACTTGTCCCCGCGATAAGCCACAGCCGCGAAGCGCCCGGAAGCGGCCAGCACTGTGCCAGCACCGCGTTACCCCCCTGTACCCCGTGTTGCTGCAGCGCGATAGATGTAGGCGCAGACCTTCGGCTTCCTCAACAGGAACCGAGGGCCCGCGCCCCTCGCCTGCCTCGCCGTCGTCCGCCCGTGTGCTCGCCCGCGCGCCGCCACCGCGCTGCCTAAGGCAAGGAGGAAAGGAGAGCTTAATGTGTGATAGAGTTACGTGTGATGAACATGTGTGCGCAAAGGGGCCGCCTGCTGCTGCTGCTCGCGGGTTGCGCCGAGAAGTCCACATCCCCGCGTGCGCGGTTGTTGGTCCGGACCAAACGCTGCCATGTTGGCGGTATGCCAGACGCGAAATAGCGCAGTGCATTCGGATCGAGGTAGCCGGTCGATCTCGAAGGCGACACCTCGCATTTGCCCACGAGCAAATAGACGGTTCCGTTGACAGTTCGAAACCGCGTGGAAGCGCGGGCACTGTCTCCCAGCCGCTCCACGCACCCACTGGTCCTCCACCAGTCGCTCGAGCTGCTCGTCTTGCCAACAAAGCATAGCCGCCACTTTCCATCGATCTCGTAGATAGCGGGGAACCACCTCCTCAGCTCCGTCTCCTGGCGCTCCTCTGGCGCCGCGGCCTCCCCGACTCTCCTCGCGTACGCGACAGCCGCCTCCACTGCGGTGCCAAAGCTTCCGAGGAAGATACGCGGCGCACCCCGCCCACCCACCTTGGTCTGGGCGCAAAACTTGCCTCGCTCCAAGTAGACCCCCAAATAGCCGGTGGCGCTATTGGGGGACAGGTGTAGCCGCATCCCGTCCGCCTCGGTCACGATTGGTACCTCCTCCGCTGCCTCCTCCGCCTCCTCCTCCTCCAACCGCCCAATCCCGCCCTCGAGGTCCGCCTCCTCAAAGTGCGCGCCCTCGAGGTCCGCCTCGAACGCCTCCGCCTCAGCCTCCTCCGCCTCCGCCTCCTCCAACCCCCCGATCTCGGCTCCGCTCTGCAGCCCCTGCTCCGGCGCCGCCTGCTCCGCCGCCGCCTGCTCCGCCCTGCGCCGCCTGCTCCGGCGCCGCGGTTCGGCCCCTCGGCTCGGGGGGGGCTGCGACCGAGGTGGCTCACTGTCGCCGCCCACGCCCTCATTGCCTAGGATGAAGGTTGTGGAGGGAATTGAAAGGAATATTGCGCTAGCCTAGGCTAGAATCGTAGGCGGGCCTGAGCCGTGCGACAGGAGAAGCGCCTCGTATCCGCGCTTGAGAAGTGTGCTTGCAGTCGAGGGAAGACCGAGGGCAACGCACACAGCGGGCCACAGCCGCCTCTCCTCAACTTCGACGTACCCCCCAAGCTTCAACACGTTGGTCAGCACCAACCCCGCCAAGTCCGTCTGACAGGGTGGGGTGGGGTGGGGTCTGGGTTAGGGTGAGGGTTAGGGTTAGGGTGAGGGTTAGGGCTTCGGTGGGGCTTTCCGGGTGCTCTACGGGCCTGCCTTTCCCGGATTCGCCCTACGGCGCTCCTAGGATTACTGCCTACTAATTCCCCTTACAGAATTCTGACCCTCTTGGTGAT